TATTAACAAATTTAATGTGGGTCCCACTTTAGCGACCAATATTGGTCGCTAATCTCAATATATTTGACTAAGCAAGTCTGACCAGTCCAGTCAACAATTTGACTAAATTTGCGGCCAAATAGCGACCAACTTTGGTCGCTAAAGTATTTCAAATATTTTTATTATTATTTTCGGCAGTTTGGCGACCAACTTTGATCGCTTTTCTTAACAGACCAAATTTGATCGCTTTTTACCGAAATTCTAGTAGTGGTTGGAGCTAGTCATAACTTTTCCATATGTGAAAGCTGACTAGGAAACGATTTCCTTCCCTTTTCCGGACATGAAATTAATTTCCAAATTTCACAAAGTGGGCCAGCCTGCATTACTTCCTCCAATGACAAGTCCCCATGAACTATAATCAATATTTTAGGAAAATTTAGTTTTTTATTGACAAATTTCGTTTACACTTTAAGCATTTCAAAATATGTGGATTTAATGTCTTAGATTTGGCTTAGAAACAATTGTGTAATTTGTGGGAGTTTGATGCAGATTGAATTAAAGTGATATTTCTGCTATTTAAATCAAATGTCCAACTTTAATTTGCTTAACTAAACAAGTGCGCTCAACATGATTAAGAAAATACTAATAAATATTATCAAAATAATTAAATGACAATTTTTTTTTTATAAAATCTACTTCTAAAGGGTAAAGCTTAGTTATATATACGAATTACCTTCAATCCATGAACATAAAAGGGTCAAATTAGTTCTGCTTAATTGGCGGAAGTAAAGTTAAACCATGTTTTAACTTTAGAAATTAACTTCATGCGGGAAGTTGTCAACTTTTATGGAAAGATGTGACCAAAGGTAAGTATTTACCATAATATATAAGATACCTTGCGGTTCTTATAAGCCGGCCGCTAATACCAACAACAAAAATTAAGGTTCAACTTGTGCTCAAAATTATGGAGCAAACAGTTGATAGAGAGGACAGAATATCAGAGTTGCCTGTACACATAGTTTATGACATCTTGCGTCGGATTCGTAAATACGGGCTAAAAGAAGAAGTTCGAACTTGCGTCTTGTCTAAAACATGGAGTTCAATTTGGAGATCGCGACCGGACGTGATAATTAATCAATCCAGCCACAACAGTTTCATGAAATCCACGGAGAAATTTATCAAATTTGCTGACGATTCCTTGCGCCCCTATGTCGAGCAAAACTTAAGAGTCGAAACACTCCGCCTCCTAAGCCTTCGTGATCAGGAATTGGCTTCTCATATTGATCGGTGGTTGAACTTGGTGATTAAACTTAATGTCAGATCTCTAGAAATTTACGCGATGTATAATTTGAAATATAGCGTGCCTGATGCTATTTATGCAGCTAAGACGCTGACTGAGTTATCGCTACGCGGGTGCAACTTTGAAATAGATAATAGCACCAACAAATTGCAAAGATTAATCACTACTTGTCCGTTAATCAGGGATCTAAAAATAAGTCGTTGTTGGGGGATCCAGAATTTGCTTGTTTTCGGTCTAGTAAATCTGGAGAAATTGGAGCTACGTTCGTGTGAAGGACTCGAAAAGGTGGAAATCCAGGCTCCAAATCTGCGAGAATTTGTATATGTTGGTGTGCCTTTGCACAAGTGCCCGAAGGTACGTGAGCCAAAATTGCTGCCTTGCACAATTGATATTTTAGATGGTTATAAGACTTTAGAATATCTCTACTTGGAAGCTACTACCATGACAGATAAACAATTTGAATATCGGTTATCTAAGTTTACAGCCCTTGAAGTTTTAGATCTCAGGGAATGCTATATAATGAAAAATATAAAAGTTATGAGTGAAAAACTTAAGAAATTCACCTTGTGGAATTGGAGGAATTTGGAGCAAGTCAACGTGCTGGCTCCAAATCTGGTGGCGTTCGATTTTGAAAGTGGCAAAACATGTATGCCCTTCTCAACTATGGATCCTTCTAACCTCGAACGAGCCAAAATCAATTTTTATTTGCGGTCATCTGATGATTCTTACCACTTTGGAGATGTGGACACAAGTTGGTACAATAATCTTCAAGGCTTTGTTCAAAAGTTCAACTATTCTAACGGCTTGATATTAGTAATTCGTTGCAGGAAGGTAATTTTTTTTTTTTAAGTTTTCTCTTTCACCAGTGTAATTACATCAGCTGCATAGGAATCATATCTCATCATAATTCATATTTCTGTGTAAATGCTTTTCCCTTCAATTTGCTTCACTGTGAATTGGACTTCAATTGGTTTGGACTTTTTACAATATATGCAGGATCAGAGTATTCTTATTTATGAAGATCCAAGAGAAATTATTGTTCCACCAACTCGAGAACTAGAGATATGCATTAAAAATCCTTCGATGTATCCTGAAAAATTCACACATGATTTGATGCTTGGGCGACCCAACATAATATCCATTGTGCCATGTAGAGAGAGCAAACTAGTCCAGGTATAAATATACATTATGTCGCGTGTTTCTTTTTATACGACTCGATATTCTCATATTTGTTGTCCCTAATGCGCACATATAAACATGTACTAACCAAAATCGTTATATTGCATAACTGTCGTCTCGTAGTCATGTTTGAACCTAACGATTTTTGAACTACCTTTCCCACTAAATTATAAGAGCTTCCCTTATATCAAGGGGTTTCGATAGTATATAAATTTATGTTTTTATTTTCTTAATTTGCTCATTATAATTTTCTTCATTCAATTGAAGCCCTTCATTACATTTTATATGCTCCCTTCAGATAATTTCTAATATATATATGAATGAAAGTTTCATGCGTTTGGAATAACAGGTGTTCCAGGAAACAATAACAAGATACAAAGCGGAGCAAAATAGAAGACTAGATGAAGTCATTAATCACAAAGGCGCAACTGAAAATGGCGAAACATCCCGTTTGTACTCTTGGCTGAAATCCACGCCCCTAATTGAGCGGATTACCACTTTTACGTTTAAGTGGAAGGAACCTCCTTTTTCTTAGACCTCTACTCTATCTTTTACAAAAAATAATAACATGTGTTTTCAGCACGGAGGCAGTTCAATTGTATGTTTGAAGGTGTTTGGTTTTTTTTACTTTTAGAGCATGTTTAGAAAGCTACACAGGACTTGTGTGTACTCGGGTATAAATACACAATTTAACATGTTTGTGTCTGAATAAGTAATTGAAATGGGTATGATTGAAAGAGTATCTAATTCTTAAGGGGAATTGGAGAGGAATTAGTGGTAACTACACTGTACATATTTTTATTTTACCATATTTTGTATTTCACAACGCAATTTGTTACATTGCCCACAAGAAGCATCAGAAAGAGGCATGTGGAGCCCTGTTCTAAGAAGCTTGCATAAAGAAATTTGAGATAAAAGTTAAAAAAAAAGGAGGCAAAACCTTAGATTCTAAAACAGTTCAAGCTCATGGAAGGAATATTGGTACATCATATACCTATGAAACTTATAAGAAATTCTTTTAGGATAAAAGTAAATAAGGGTACAACGATAGATCCTAAAAAGGTTCAATCACAAGAGGAAAATATTGACTGTCAGTTTCACAAGTTCAATCAATTTCATAGATTCTTAGGGCAATGACAGTAGAAGCAGAAAGAAATTTACGACGCTTGTACTCTGCCATATTTTTTCTTGAGATACTTTTAGTTCATATTTGAGTAATCATATTGCGTTGAAATTACGCCACATATTGTGCTTACAATGACGTTGTTTTTAGAAAAGAATTGTACTATCTATTTTTCATTTCACTTTAAAAAAACGATATTCAATAGAACAAGATTTTACGCAGCCTATTATTTCCTTAAGCCTTTAACCACAACTTCATTTCACCATACAATTTGCAAAGCTATATAACATCCCTTCTTTCTCGACTTAGCATATATTCTGACAGAATTGAACAAGACTGGAAATACAGAAAATTGAATAAACTTCTGGCTGGAATATTATTTACTTATAAATATCTAGTTTTCTATTCACTGTAAGTGAAGCAATTTGTATTAATTACATAGTCTTTAAGAAATCAAACACTCAAATGGAGATTGTAGTACTCAATATATTGCCCTATTCTTTCGACATAACAAACTCCTTTAATTCTCTATTATATGTCACATGCCGTAACACCTTCTGGAAGAAGTTAAAGGAACATAATTATTGGAAGTTAGATGATTAGAAGCTAGATTTGGAGTTAGTTATAATTGGGACCCAAATGCAATTACTAGGAGTTAGGGGGGTCTTTTATTATTTAGCTTTCACAATTAGTTGTATATAACTAATTCAGTTAGTACAGTAAAAGCATTTGGAAAATTTCCCAAATTCCCTCTTCTTCTTCTTCCTCACGTGTGCAGAGCTCTCTAATGACGATTTCTAACATGGTGTCAAAGCCATAGAGATTGATCCGTGAGATTGTGGAATTTCTCCAACTATTCGACAACTTGATCCTATTCATCTTCTCATTTTCGTTTCTGAATCAATTTCTAGTCTTTGATATTCTGCATGAGCATCAATGGCAGCAGAAACATCAGTGAAAATCGACCACACTCATCCACTCTTTCTCCAACCTTCAGATACGACTGGATTAGTTCTAATTCCGATTCAGCTCACAGGATCGGAGAACTATGGATTGTGGAGTAGATCGATGCGCCTTGCTCTCAAGGCCAAGCGGAAGTTAGGGCTTGTAACAGGAGCATGTGCGAAAGAGTCATTCGAGAAAAATCTCCATGAGGAATGGGAGACTTGCAATGCGATAGTGCACAGCTGGATTATGAACTCCGTTTCGAAAGATCTGCTTAGTGGTATCATCTATGCATCAGATGCACATGCAGTTTGGGAAGATCTACAGGAACGATTTGATAAAGTAAATCGAGTACGAATTTTTCAATTACACAGATCAATTTCGAGGCTATCTCAAGGAGCAGATTCTGTGGCTGTATATTTCACCAAATTGAAGGAGTTGTGGGCTGAGTATGATGTTTTGGTGCCATATCCGGACTGTGGTTGTCCAAAATCTAAAGAACACGTGACTCTTTTACAGCAACAAAGACTTATGCAGTTCTTAGATGGACTAAATGATACATATTGTCACACCTCCTTTTTCCGCACCCGAGGGGGTGCAAGGGAGTTTTTTCCAATTAAAGGACAATCGAAACGGGATTGGTTTATTTATTTCAGAGTCGCCACTTGGGAGATTTAGGGTGTCCCAAGTCACCAATTTTAATCCCGAATCGAGGAAAATAATGACTCCATATTACAGTCTGCGTACCAGAAATCCGGATAAGGAATTCTGTTAACCCGGGAGAAGGTGTTAGGCATTCCCGAGTTCCGTGGTTCTAGCACGGTCGCTCAACTGTTATATTCGGCTTGATTGTCTGATTTTATACAAATATGAACTTATGTGCAAATTTTATCTTTTAACCGCTTTATTATTATTGTTTTTAAAAGAAATATGAACATCGCTTAAAACACGTCTTTGGACTGCGTTACATGAAATGCACCCACAATCCGGAACACGTTTTATTTGATGTTTTGGGATTTGGATTCGGGTCGCATGAAATGCACACCCATGCTTAAGAAAGTAAAATATTAAACACGCGCCTAAAGAGACTATCGCGTTATTATTTTGGGAAGACCGTAAAATTCGCTAAACGGTCCTTCCGAATTCTAATTAAACCATACATTTTATGAGGGCCCCGCAATCTATACGTTTTATTTGGCGAGGCTCGTCTCATTATTATTTTAAAAGGATATCCTATAGCAACTACGTTTCTTGTCGCGTTTGTCTCTACTAATTGAAAACAGAGATAGTCCTAGTTAATTACATGCTTGCAGTTTTTTTTATAGCGGGATTCAAAATGTTTTTACATAATGAGAAAACGTGGCTACGCACACGGACAGCTGATCGAACATTATGGGCCCAAATCCAGCTCATGCGGGATGGGCCAGACCTGGCCACTGTTTATCCGATGCGGGCCTGCTTGGTCTGTTTCGACCTGGGCCTGACCCCCGTGAGGTTGAGGCCGTGAACTTGTTCTTTGTTCTAAAGGCGTAGTTTATCAGTTATAACGGGACAGTTCATTAAAGGGAAAAGAAGTTAACTAATGGTGGATAGTTTTCATGCATTACTGGACATGCTAATCACAAACACAGCTAATTTCTGAGCTACAGCCTACTACATTATCAAATTTTTATCCAACATCCTACACACACAATTGGATGTCAAGTTACCATACATTGACAGTTACTATGTGTGAAAGCTAAC